TGAAGAGAGGATCAGGTGGGAAGCTAGGCAATCAGAGAGGCCAGAGGGAAATGATGCCTTTCAGGAGGAAACGGGCTGGGACCGAGATGAAGGGGGGATGCAGAAGGGGAGGCTGTCAGAAGGGCCACCCCCTGCGGGGGTTAGAGACACGGACTCTTGCTGGTGCCACTGAACAGACCTAGAGAGGGGAGGGAATGGGTGCCAAGTTCCAAGGCCACCTAGCCATTCAAGCCACCAACATGATGGTTATTCAGAGCTGCTCAAATTGGGTCACCTCCGAGCAGGTCACAGGGGGCTGGCCCCCAGCAGCCTGTGGCCTCGGATGAGCCAGCAGGAGCAGGAAAGGCCCCAGCTGACAATAAAGCCAGATTTAGATGTGACCATGTACAGGAAAACCTGGTGCCCGGGGTCCAGAGTGCCCTGACCCCACGGCCTACTGGCCCTCCAGGGAGCCCGGAGTAGTTTCCCACATGTCAGACGTGGCTCCCAGGTGCCCCGTGTGTGCACACTTCTCGCTCTGTCGTGCATCACTTGCCAGCAGATGCAAGGACCACTGATGCATACCACTTGGAGGAAAGGGTTCTTATTGAATTACTAAATCCTGCTAGAAATGAGGGCAACTTGCTCCTAATAGAATTTTTATGTTTCTCGTGATCCTCGGCGGACTCCCATGAGGTTTTTCCATCTCCAGTGTGGTGCCAGGGGTGGGTTCTACCAGCCGGTTCTCTCTCCTTTCGAGATCAGGGCCCTTAAAAGCAGCTCTGTCTCTGGGAGGGAATTGTGCTTTCTCAGTCTAACAGAACCTTTCTAATTTGTCTAAAATCTGTTCTGCTGACTCTGGGGGCAGTGAGTGGGAGGTTTGCTTCAGGGAGGAGCATGCAAGTGGTTGGAGCGGGTGTTCTCTGCAACTGTAAGTGTTGACAATATCTGTAATACTACTGTTTATTTTGTACTGTCCTACCTTTCCCTCGCTCCCCATCAACACAAGCCACAAATGGTACAAACGAACATGGGAGGATGTTTTCGCGGTTGATGAAACGCCTCCTCCGTGGACTCGAGCGGCCACCGGCAAGACCTCTCTTGCCGCCGGAAGTCACTTCGTTTTTCACGCAGTCGATGGTGCATTGTTGGACACAGAGGATTACTTAGGCTGGGGTAGAATGTGGAAAGTGTCTCACTGCATTTAAAGTACCATCAGGTTACGCAAAGGAGAAACATGAACCTCCCCTCACAAGAAGGAAAAGCTAGACGTGATGAGTAAACCAGACCTCAGGTGCTCCCTGGAAGGTGTGTTTCATCTAAGTACTTAGTTTTGCTTTGGGCACACCACTCTTATCCCTCCGAGGGTCAGGAGCAAATTAGTGTTCAGTATTTGTTTTTTTCTCATTCTTCTCTTCTTACACTAGTGATATCATCCCTGGAAGACTAAGATGTAAGAAGAGGTGAATCATGTATCACCTTCGCATCTCTTCTAGAATTACATCAGCCGGAGGGCTATGGGGTGCAGTGGGGATAAAAGCCAAAAAGTAGAGGGGAGGAAGGAGGGAAGGGGAGGGCACCGGGAGTGGGGGAGGGGGCTGGTTCTTCTGCAGTCTGCTTATTTTCTTCTTCCTCCTTCCTCAACCCCTAAGCCCCCCTTCCCTATTCATAAATCAGGTAACTGGAAAAATCAGACTTTAAAAGAGAAAGTTGCCTTACATTTATTGATGGTGTTGGTGTAAATGTCGTTTGTCTGAATTTTCTGACCAATCGCCACACCCCCACCAGTCACAGATAAATGCTAACCTTGGCATTGTCACTAGACCATTAACTGGTTAAGAATGAAGACACATAGGGGCACCTAGGTGGTTCAGTCGGTTAAGTGCGCAGCTCTTGATTTTGGCTCACATCATGATCTCAGGGTCGTGAGATCGAGTCCTGCATAAGGCTCCACACTCAGTGGGGAGTCTGCTTGAGATTCTCTCTCCCTCTCCCTCTGCCCCTCTCCCCCCGACACACACACTCTCTCTCAAATAAACCTTAAAAAAAAAAAAAAGAATGAAGACACAGAGACCCTGCCCCACCACAAGTATTAACCACATGAATTTCACCCTCTTTAATGTTCTTATCAGGGGCGCCTGGGTAGCTCAGTCGTTAAGCATCTGCCTTGGGCTCAGGTCATGATCCTAGGGTCCTGGGATCGAGCCCTGCATCAGGCTCTCTGCTCTGCGGGAAGCCTGCTTCTCCCTCTCCCACTCCCCCTGCTTGTGTTCCCTCCCTCGCTGTGTCTCTCTCTGTCAAATAAATAAATAAAATCTTAAGAAATAATAATAATGTTCTTATCAGTTTCAAAGAGCAGAGGAACTTGGCAATGTTTGAAAATAATTTTAAATGTGAAATCCAGTCATGCAAGAGAGTGATGGGCCACACAGCCAGCTGCCAGTCTGGTGAGAGCTCTATGGAAGGCATGTAGTATGAGTATCTGGGGAGGGGAGGATCTGACTCTCCTGACCTCTCTCTACCTAGGCGTTTTAAATTTCATGCAATGATGTGTATCTGAGGTATTTGGGGAGAGGGGTAGGGACTCTCAACCAAACCAAAATATAACAGATTCAAAGGCCTGGACCTTGTGCTAATGCCCTTAAGAAGTGATTCTGAGGGGCGCTTGGGTGGCTCAGTCGTTAAGCGTCTGCCTTCAGCTCAGGTCATGATCTCAGGGTCCTGGGATCGAGCCCCATATCGGGCTCCCTGCTCGGTGGGAAGCCTGCTTCTCCCTCTCCCACTCCCCCTGCTTGTGTTCCCTCTCTCGCTGTGTCTCTCTCTGTCAAATAAATAAATAAAATCTTTAAAAAAAAAAAAAAGAAGTGGTTCTGAGTATTTTTTAGTTATTTCCCATCCACCCTTTGCTTTTTGTTTCTAAAGCTAATCTTATGCCCAAACCACTCCTGTTGATTAGGAAGAAAATCTTTCACCCTCCCTCTATGGTTCCGATAAATTCCAGACTCCTCAGGATCTGTGGGTCTAGCTGCCCAAAACATAATTATGATGAAAACAAAGCAGAGTGGCCTCAGGACAGCAGGCAAGGCCAGAAGTGGGATCATTTCTGCAACACAGGAAATGGAGCCCAAAGGGGCAAAGGGAAAAAAATAATTTGAGGAAGGCACAGTTTTGGCAGCGTCTTATTACAACTTCCAGCTGATCGGGTGTAGCCAAACCAGAGACATCTGTTTGGAGTTTACAACAGAAACAAGCTCACAGAAAGCCTGAAAACCCTGAGACAGACAGACAGACACACACACACACACACACACACACACACACACACACCAAGCTCTAACAGTTCTCATCTGCCTTGACCACACAGACACACACACACACACACACACACACACACCAAGCTCTAACAGTTCTCCTCTGCCTTGACCTCCAGACCATTCCCCCACTGGGTCACGCTGGGTTGTAGAAGGGAAGGAAATAGGTTCTTCCGCTGGCCTCCCCACCCGCCCCACCTGCGCCATGACTCATTCAGGCCATGATCAGAACTTACCAACCTTCCTCTCTCCTTGATTTTCCTCCAGGAAAAACAGAGATGGCCCCACTACTCACAGAGCCCCAAGTACACTTTCTTTAGGTCTCTGGTTGATCTTTAAAGCCCCCTGAGCTGTTTGTAAAGGAAAAGGTGAACCCCACAGAAGAAGGTGGTAAAACCTCAGAAGACCTTGAAAGTCACTCCCCCCTAAATCACCTCACAAGTCTGGGAGTGAGGAACAGAACTCAGCCTGTATCTCCAAGAATTAACTCCGAGAGACCAGAAAAAGTCCACACACACCCCACCCCCGCCCAGTTTACTGCAGGAAGAATATGGGAGGATACACTCAAAGAGAAGGTGAGAGCTGGCCCCAGCCATGGCACCCACCGTGGTGGAGGGCAACAAAAGCCCTGGACTATGCAAAGAGCGGGTTCCCCTTCTGGAATCACCTGCGAGCACAGCAAAGGCCGAACCCTGTCCTACCGTACCTTCACGCAGATGGCCAGGCCCTCTTCCAGCCCCACGGCCCCCAGTATTTTCAGCAGCACTTCCAGACGCTCACCTGTTCGGTGAATTGTCTTCTTTATTCTCTCCCCACTGGCGTGCAAACAGAACCAGAGCAGTGCTACTCTTAGAAAATAACAAAATGTTTTATACACATTTCTGTATATACAACTGAACATTTTACATGTCCCTTTTGCACAGCAAAAGATAAAAACATTTAGCTCCGAGAACACAGTTATGTACAAAAAAAAAAATGTCAAAAATACTTCACAACAGTGCAAAATGTGTTACACAGTATCATGGAGGGAGATCGTTTGAGCAGGAGGAAGGTGTGTTTTTAAAGGAAAACTCCTTTTTTTAAAGATATTAGATGTCTTTAACTGTAAACAAAATGCAACTTTCTTTCATTTCCCCACCACCACCACCCCCAAACAGTTATTTGAGGAATTTGGCAGAATTTCAAGGGTCTGAGTCTGAGGTAAACAACCCAAGCTCTCGCACCAAAAAGACTGGGGGCAAGGAGGTGGCATCAGCCTCAAACGTTGTGAGAGCAGGAAAAAAAAATGTTTTTTAATGACATGTCAGTGACAGCGCTAGGCGGCTCCCTGTTATTGGGTCGGTCAGGGGAGGAAATTAACCCCTCCTCCTCAGGCCCCAGCTGCCCCACAAACAGGAAACTGGCCGGCAGGCAGGCATCCCTGGCGGGTAGGACTTTGCTAACCAGCAGGCCCTTCCCTCACCACCCCCTCAACCCCCACCCCCGGCCCCCAGGGCCCTGCCTCTCTCTTCCTCCGTGCACTTTGCCCCCTCGCACATCTCCACGCGCAACCTGAGCCCCGCTTCTAACAGAGCCAAATGTGCTGAAGGAGAGGGCCAGGGTAACTCTGGGCCTCAAGCGTCCCGTTTCCCCTTTCCTGGAGGCTGTCCAAAAGACGGGTGGGGAGTCACAGTGGGGCGTCAGGGGCGCGCGCAGGGGGCTGCTGCGATCTCAACCCGAGTGGGGCTCCTCTGGGTTGGCACCGTCGGCAGGGCCCGACCGGTCCCCGGCGGTGGCAGAGGTGGCGTCCGGGCCCCCGCCTTCGATGGAGCTCTCGCTGCCGGTGCTCTCTCCGGACAGCAGGCGCGTCACCCGCAAGTCGGCCTGCAGGCTGCGCACGTCGTTGCCGAAGCTGAGCTCTCCCAGGTCGTTAATAAGCTGGGACAGCTCGGCCTTCATGTCGGGGGCGCTGCCCATCAGCAGAGGCGACGGCCCAGCCCCAGGGCCCAGGGAGACCCCGCCGCCCCCTAGCGCCTCCTCGCGGCCACTCTCCAGCGTGTCCAGCAAGTCCCCGCATTCCAAGTGCATGGCCACCACCAGCGCCCGCTGCGCCTTGGCCTCTTCCACTGCCGGGTGTCGGTCCTCAGCACGGTCCTCCTCCTCCTCCTCCTCTTCCTCCTCCTCCTCTTCCTCCTCTTCCTCCTCCTCCTCCTCTTCCTCCAGGCAGCCCTCCGTGTGCTCCTCTTCCTCTTCCTCCTGCAGCTCCTGCTCCTGCTGTTCGCCGAGCAAGTCCTCGGTGATGGAGCCCAGCTTGGGCGCGCTGCGGCTGCGTTCCACCGGCGGCTTGTAGCAGCAGGGTCCGTGCAGGAGCAGCTTGCGCAGCGGCACTAGCGGGATGGTGTGCGCGCCCACCAGCTCCTGCTGCTGGTGACGCGCATCGTCCCTCCGCTTGAGCCGTTTAAATTCCGCCAGTGCGTTGGCCGACGTCTGGTACAGCAGCAGGGCCATGGCCTGAGCCTTCTCGGGCTTGGACACCAGCACCGCGTGGCAGCGCAGCATTACCGCCTTGTGCTTGAGCTCGTGCCGGTATACCCAGGCGAAGACCTTGGGCAGCCGAGCGTCTGCCACGCAATAGGTAACGCGGTGCAGCAGGTAGAGGTGGCCCGGGCGGCGCAGCGCGCGCTCCTCGGCGTGCACCATGCGGATACCCTGCGCACTCACAGTCAGCTTCATCTTGGTGCCCTGACGACCCGCCTCGCTCTTGCTCCAGATCTTGCCCACCGCTAGGTCAGTGCAGCCGTCGCCGCGCGCCTGGATGGTGGTGGCATTGCCCAAGTAGAGCACGGTGTAAGTGGGGTCCTCGCTGGTGATGTGCAGCTTCTTGCGCTTGGAGCGGAACATGCTGCCCACCCGGCTGAGCGCGCCTTCGGGGCACGCCCGCGCCAGCGAGCTGAGCGCCGAGTAGTGCAGGCTCACCGCGTAGCCCTTGGGCTTGGACGCCTGCCGTGGCGGCGCCTCGGCCAGCAGCTCGAACTTGTGCTTCTTCCACGGCAGCATCTCCGGAGGGCGCCCCGCGCAGCTGGGCGGCGGCGGCGGAGTGCGGGGTACAAGACCCGCCGAGCCACCCGCCCTAGCCCGGGCAAGACAGAAAAATAAAACTCTGCTGGGAGTGGCCCAGTGGTAGAGAGGCGGTTAGGGAGTATCGTGCTCAGGGACCCCGCCGAAGGGGGTACGGGTACAAATTTTAAAAGAGAAGAAAATATTCAGCTGCGAGGGGGCGGGGGGAGGAGGAAAGCGCGCACAGATTTACCCCAGCCAGGGCAAGGACGAGGGCAAAGAGTCTTAGGCAGGCAAAATGAGAGAAAAGAAATCAGAGAGGAACGTTAAAAAGAGATGCGCGCGCGCAGAGGGTGCCCCAGCCAAAGCAGCCGGGACGGGGCGAGAATATGCAGGAACTCTTCGGTGAACCTGGAAAGGCCCACCGCGGTCTCTCTCTCTCTCTCTCTCTCTCTCTCTCACACACACACACACACACACACACACACACACACACTCCCCAGGGCTGGGACTAGAAACCGCGGAAACTCGATAGCGAGTGTGCCCAGCGGCCACTGCTCCCCGCCCCTAAGTGGTGTTGGAGCCTGAGAGCCCCTCGTCTGGGCTGGTCCCAGAATGTGCGGCTTGCCGGGAGTGCAGTCAGATGCTGCCCCGGCTGGCCGCGGCGGGCCCGGCGCAGCACTCCGCCTGTGGCTCACTGCATCTTCGCTCCGGCCCGACGCGGGGACTCAGGCTCGGCTGGCTCACTGTCCCGGCTGGCTCGGCCGGGGCAGCGCGGGGCGCCGAGGGTGGGGCGCGCGCATGGTCGGCTCCGGGACGGTCGCTACCTCATTTCTTCCCTCCGGGGGTGTCCGACTCCGCTCCCGAGGTCCCCGAGGTCTGCTGCCCGCCCTTGCGGCGCGCCTGTCCCGTGCTGCGAGCAGTAGCCGGCTCGCCAGCCTCACATCCTTGCGGTCCGGGAGCAAGATCTCGGGTAAATATAGGCCGGCGCGAACCATTCGCTGCGCGGGGACAGGGGAGGAGCAGAGAAGAGGATGCGTTTCGGGCTCGGACGGCCGGCGGGTCCCTGGTCTCTTAAAGGGACCTAGTTGCAGCCATTTGTCGAGGGAAAGGGGAAACTGGTCCAATCCCGCAATTACATCTCAAATTTACCAACATCTCATTTACCTACAGGTATCGCCAAGACCCGGGGTTACCCCTCGGGAAAAGCAACTTGAATTCTGACACTCCACCCTCGGGCTGAATTGCAACTCGCTAAATAAATGTACGTCTACATCGAAACTTCTGGGGGAAGTGGTAGAACGTGGGATTTAGACTAATTTACTATGTAAAAAGGTTGGGGAAATAGTGGTTCTTTCCATGTGTGACAGCTCTCTGAGAATGACTGGGTGCTGTTTAATACTATTTTTTTTCACAATTTTTTTTTCATTAAAAGTAATAGAAGCAAGGAAAACAGCGAGACTTATCTTTTAGGATCTTGGAGCCCTTTCTCCACAGACAAGCAGATAGTGAGAAGTGAGATGAACATAATGGGGTGATTGGAGTGAACAATATGGTATACAGCCCATAAATAAAGTGCTTCCTATGCCTAATCCCTAGCAGCAGCCCCTCCTGCTCTCAGGCCTCAGAGAAGAGCAGTTTTCTGAGACCCATACAATTTCTTTTTTTTTTTTTAAGATTTTATTTATTTATTTGAGAGAGAGAGAATGAGAGATAGACAGCACGAGAGGGAAGAGGGTCCGAGGGAGAAGCAGACTCCCCGATGAGCAGGGAGCCCGATGTGGGACTCCATTCCGGGACTCCAGGATCATGACCTGAGCCGAAGGCAGTCGCCTAACCAACTGAGCCACCCAGGCGCCCGACCCATACAATTTCTAAGTAATGCTTATGTATGATTAGAACTCATTTTATTTTGGCAGGTCAGTCATTCAGTTTTATTACATCACTGACACATTTTGGGTAAGAATTCCTAGTAAAAATCCAAGTGACCTTTTTTTATTTCACTGTCTAATAATGCTCAGCCACCGTCCACTAGGAATGACAATCACATTATTATGCTTTTCTCCTATGCTGACTGAACAGTGTAGCTTCAGTCATCTGACCAGCTTGACCTTTGGCTGATAACTCATTTCTGGACCCTCAAAACAACCTGCTTGCCTCTATGGTCTGCTCAGTCAAAGCAAAAAAGAAAAACTTCAAGCTGGAATGTGTGATAAATGTCCAGATGATCCTGCATCAAACTCCCAAGTTCGTCCTGGAGGAGGACCGTGGACCCCCTTTACTCCACAGGCCCCATCCACTGGGGATCTTGGATATCTTTGGCTTCCATGCCAAAACCACTGATTTCAGAACCACCACCGTAGCCCCTCCTGGAAATTCTCTGGAGCCCTACCTTTGCTAACTTTTAACCTTTCTTTGAAATTTAAATAACTTTTCTCTGAATTCTAACCCAGTTTTCTCAGACTCATTGGTGCTGAGTTTCAATGTAACTTTTCGGAGTACTTTTTGGTGCCAGGCCCTGAGCCAGGAGCAGACCCAGTTCCTATCTCCAAGGAGCTCCCAGTCCAATGAAGGATGTAAATTGCACCCAGCTCTGGGCTTCCACTGAAACTAGGAGAGCACCCTGTGTCCCCAGTGCCTGGTACACAAATAGGCATTACTTGATTGTTGAATTAATGAAGGAGACATGCATGTGAATGGGAAGACAGAGCTACGTGCCCTGAGAAAGACCCAAAGTACTATGAGAAGCTGGAAGAAGAGCAGTTTCATTTCGAGTATGAAAATCAGAAAAGGCTCCACAGAAGGTGATGTTTGAAGAATGAGCAGGCTTTCTCCAAGCAGGGAAGAACTAAAGGGCTTTCAGGATATAGAAGACAGCAGAATTATAGGACACGAACATGCATACACACGTGCAGATTAGGACGGAGTTTAATGATTATAACAATGAGAATAAAAGTTTCCCGATGGTGTTTTTGGTCCCCCCTAGTATCTGAGGGAAGGAATGGCCTTTTCACGGCTGACTCTTGCCCCACGGTATCATTAGACCAGAGCTGTGATGACTTACTCCCCAGCTGCACTAATGGACTAATGGAGGGATACCAGGCCTTGTGCTGGAATGAACGAGTTAGGACTGTCATAAGCCATTTAAGCCAAAGTGAACTCCTCTTCTGCTCAAATTTCTGGAAAATCTTGCAGTGGCAATCAAGTAGACTGTATGTGCTCCAAACCAAAAAGTCTGGTTAAAAAAAAAAAAAAACACACCAGATTAACCAGTGTTAAGTGACCGTTAGCTGGTCCATAATCTTGAGGTCTAAACTCTCCGATAGTAGATGTCATGTTCAAGCAGGTACCATTTCCAAGTTGCTCAGAGGTCCAAGGCCCAGAAGGGTTCGGGGAAGACAAGAGAGGACCAGTGGTGGGAGCTAAGGCTGGTCTCAGCTTCCGCAAGGGCACCACCTCGGGCATCACACGGTAGCAGGGAGAGCCATGGACCACAATGGCAGGGAGGATTCCACTGGCAGGCCCAGCTTCTCCGAAGCAGTGAGGGCATCAGTTCTGGGTGCGGAGGCCCACAGAACTGCTCCTATGGACTGGTCTCTGCCACGCCTGGACTACCTTCTCCATAATTTGTTTTCGACCTTGGGAGGACAGAAAGGTTCTCGGCAAATGTGAACACTCTAACGTGTGAGTCACTGTCTGTGCTGGTGCTCACAGACCCAGGAGGAGAAGAACAAGGCTGTCTCTTGCCAGCCTGGACCTGGGGCCTGGAGCTGGGCCTGGGCCCGGGCTGGCCTCTGGGGCCGGCCTCACCTCGTCACAACTGAGGCTGAGTTTCTTCAGCCGGGAAAACTGGTGGCACCATTTATGAGCCCACACCACGGACCTGAGACACAGGGCAGTTCCAGAACAACATGAGCCAAGGCAGTTGGGGACCAGGTTAGAAACTGCATCAGACCACAGGCTTTTTTGTGTGATGCTGCCCCATCTACTGGTGGCAGGCAGAAGTGCCATTCGGTGGGCTGGTTTCTCCTAGAACAGGATAAGGCGGTGGTTGAATCCACACACAGCCAGGACACAGCGGGCAAGAAACCTGGCCTCTGACTTGACATCTGAGAGTCAGCCTTTGAGCTCACAGAAAGCGTCCAGGCTGGCTTTCTCCCACCTTATTTCTTGCATCATGATCCTCCCTCTCGGGCCTCCTCCCCCAACACTCCACGGAATGCATGTTAGCTTCAGAGACAACCAATGACTAATCTGGGATCCTCAAAGTCATTCGATAAACATTTGTTGTGAGTCTGTGATGAATGTGATGTAGTTGCTGGGGATACGATATTAAAGCAGACAGACAGGTCTTTGCCCTCATGGGATTTATATCCTACAGGGAGGCAGAGAATAAGCAAACAAATAATAAAATCTCAAATAGTGGTAAGTCTCAACACACACAAAAAAGCAGGGCTAAGAGCAGAAGGTGGTTGGTTTAGACCATGAGGTCAGAGAAGGTGTCTCTGAGCAGAGATCTCAAGGAGGTGGAGTCAGGCATGCAGGAACATTCTAGCCTGTGCTGACCAGTAAGGAAGTCACAAGCCACATGTGGCTGTTGAGCACTTGAAATCTAGTTGGTCCAAACTGAGGTGTGATGCAGGTGTGAAATACACACTAGATTTCCAGGACTTCGAAAAAAAGAATGAAAATATCTCAATCATCTTATAATAATTATATATTGAATGATAATATTTTGGCTATGTTGAGTTAAATAGACTATATTATTAAAATTAATTTGGCCTGGGCGCCTGGGTGGCTCAGTTGGTTAAGCGGCTGCCTTCGGCTCAGGTCATGATCCTGGAGTCCCGGGATCGAGTCCCGCATCGGGCTCCCTGCTTGGCAGGGAGTCAGCTTCTCCCTCTGACCCTCTTCCCTCTCGTGCTCTCTATCTCTCATTCTCTCTCTCTCAAATAAATAAATAAAATCTTTAAAAAAAATTAATTTGGCCTGTTTCTTTC